TAATATATAGGGACTTGTCTCCCTTCTCTCTTTTAAGTGATGACAACACTTATGGAGTCATTCGATGTAGATAAGTAAAGTAGGAGTGGTAGATCTCGGTTAGGCTTGGCCAAGATTGGAGGTAGCGACAATATGTCTTTCAACCCTTGAAAAAGGACTTCACATTCTTATGTCCACTCAAAGGATTTCTCCTTTTTCAATAAAGTGAACACATGTTTCACTTTCTTGACTTTGCAGAGCAAAAATTGAGAAAGAGAAGTTATCGTACCTATAAGTCATTGAACTTCTTTAAGGTTAGACAGACTCTTCATGTTAATGACTGCTTGACACTTGTCAAGATTGTTTTATAAGTTTCATATATCATTGTATGGATATTGTGTTGTGGTGCTTTGAAAACTCAATTTGTTAAAAAAATTTATTGGAAAGTAGACTCTTGAAGTGGAAAGTTGAGTCTCCTCTTAGTTGATATGGAGTAAAGTATGAAGTCGAGAGCTACCACCCTTAACTAATTACTGGGTAGGTTCTATGGTTCCTTGTGGCTAGTTAGTGGACTAACTGCATAAGTGACTTGGTAATGCATGTCAAGATTGTGGTAAAACTATACCCAACTATACTTGTCCTAGTGATGAAACCAAACTTTCTTAATTTAAGTAGGGACATCCAAGAAACCATGTATGTGTTAAGGATTGATATCCAAATTTTTTGTTGATCTAACAAGCTTGGTTCGATAGGATCAAATCACTTAATTAGACTACTCATCTGTATTATAGGAGATCTCCTAATTGAAAAACGTGTGACAACACATATAGTTACTATGTTGTGCATATGATGTGTTAATTTAGTTGTGTTGTTCATATGAGGTAATGATCTATGATGAAATGTATTAATGTGTTGAAATCTAAGTTGTTGATGTTGTATTGTCTAAGTTGAGATTGTGTTATGACATTGTGTTGCAATAGAATGAGTTGTTATGCTAATAGTGTTAAATATGTGTTTTATGTTGGTTAAATATGAGATGAGATAATGCACCTTATTATTCCTATGTAAAGTTGACAGATGTTAATGGTATGGTGATGTTGGATTTAGTTGAAAAATGTGATAATATGAGTGTTGTTCATATTTTGAGTTGTTTATGTTAACTACTTGAACTCTAACTTACCTTTGTGTGTTTCTATGTAATTTTGGTTGCAATGAGCATTCATGGTATATGAGAGTAAAGTAAGAATAAGTTTATGAAAATGTGCAGTGGAGGCCACTAGTAGTGTTGGAGTTGATGTTCCCTTTTAAGGACGCTACACCTTGGTAGTTATTGTATAATTGTGTTTGATCAACACTTAGAGATATTTTGATCATATAGATTATTTTGTGTGTGTGTGTGTGTATATATATATATATATATATATATATATATATATTGTATATCAAATTTTGTTAAAATTGAAAAACAACTTGAAGGTAATCAAAGTGTTCATATTTTAGTGTATTTTAAAATGAATATTACATCAATTTTGTTTTATAAAAATGAAGTATCAAATCATCAATATCAAATTTTGTTAAAATTGAACAACAACTTAAAGGTAATCAAAGTGCTCATATTTTAGTGTATTTTAAAATGAATATATTACGTCAATCTTGTTTTATAAAAATGAAGTATCAAATCATCTGGGATTAATATAAAATTTTGTATATATGGTCTAAGAGATATGAACTTTCAATCTAACGGTTGGATTTATAAAATTCACATTTAATATAAAATTATTGAGCAGTGTAATACTTAGTAAAAGTTACACCGGTGTAATTATAACCCCACTCTATATATATGTGTGTACATATGTATGCTCTTGTTAGTAGATGTAAATATGTATATTTATAGTAATTGTTGAGTATTCATTTAATGCATGATGATATTCTTAGGTAGATTTGACTATTTATTTTTCATTGCTTGTTGTTTGAATAGTTAAGTGTAAAGATAATAATAGATCATTACAATACATATGTTTTTAATTCGGTTATTCCTCTTGTTTCTAAAATTATTTGAGCAAATACAAAGGTAATTCTTTCCCTTATGAATTTAATTGAGTTGTGGAGTTTTTAATTATCCATCACTTTCAAAATAAAAAATAAAAAGGTCAAAATAATATTAAAAGTAATAAAAAATCAGTTCATAAAACATTAAAATTCATTATAAAAACAAATTATATGTAATTATATTATTTATATAAACTAATAAATACATTACTTAATTAAATTATATATTTACAAATAATTAAATTATTTTAATTTAAAATATTTTTATCTTAATTATCTTAATATTCTTTATTTTATTAACTATTTTGGTACTAAACTAATTAGAATTATCTCTCATAATAGTTCAACTTCATTAAAACTCTAATGATAATTTTTATAAAAAATAAAATTTAATCGTCGTTGATATATTATATGAATATATTTTGAGTAATTATTATATATTTTAAAATATTAGTATCTTAATATTATATCGTGCATTACACGAATCTCCGATATCATTGTATTGTTTTATTTATTTAATTATGTCTACTTATTAATCCTTAAAAAATTAAATAACTTGAAACTTAGTCTTTTAATTAAATATTTTTAAAAAAAATAACCTGACGTATTTAACAAATATGGTTCTAGTCCAAGTTTTGTGAAATATCAATCTTTAATATTTTTTTATATTTTTTTAATTCCTTCGATACTTAAAACCTAACCTTAAGAATATTGCTGTCTTAATTGCTATCATAACCCCATGTTTGGTATTGTTGATTCACAGAAGAAAAATAAAGTCATGGAATGAAAGAAATAGGGTTGTTTGTACACTATACAACTGAAAGAGGGAGAAAATATCATAAAAAGTGGCAGGTCATTTTTTTTTCTTCATTAAAAATAATATAAAAAAATTGTCACTAAATTGGCTCACGTGAAGCATAAAATCTTTTTGACAAAAGTATTCCAAAATTTCTTCATGTGAAGTATAAACCCACATATTTTTGCTCTATTATTTGTAACTTTAATTCATTCAATTTTATAATTAATGTAACTTTAATCCATTGAATTTCATAATTAATTGCATAAGAATCATAGATCTATAATTTATAACTTTAATCAATTGTTTATTTTAAAAAAAAGTTTTAATCAATATAGAACCATTTTGTTGATGTCATGTACCAGTATGTTATTCTTTATAAATAGAAAAGAAATTTTCTGTATTGTTATAAACTTTTTTTTTCTTTTTATATGAATCTAACAACTCCACAGTATTATTATTAATTATTATTATTTCTTTGTTTTATTTTTCTTAAATTAAATAATCTAAAAATTTAAATATATTTTTAGTATCAAGATAAATTTGTTTTAATCTCTTAAATTTGAAATTTATTATTTTAATTTATCTAATTTCAAATTTCAAAATATCATATTTATGTAATAATATTTGACAGTTTTACTAATGAAATTTAAATATAAAGACTTTATAAGATTAAAAAAATAATTTTTAAATTTAAGAAATCAAAAATAAATTTACTTACGTATTTATCATTTTTCACTTATTTATTTCTTTTTTCTTACCAATCCCAAATGAAGTTAAAAAGCTGATTTTTTGTTTTATTTAAAAACATAGTTGAAATAATATTTTAGTATATAAAATACACAAGTTAAATATTTATTATATATAACTAAAATTTAAAATAAATTATATATATAAATAA